CTGAACTTGAACTGAACCAAAACTTTAAGTTCAGGTTTAGTTCAAGTTCATAAATCTAAAGTTCAGTTCAGGTTCAGGTTCAATGATCTGCAAAATTTGTAGTTCAGGTTCAGGTTCAGGTTCATTGAACCTGAACCTGAACTGAACTGAACTTCGAAACACTACTCGTATATATGCGACCTGGTTGGTATTAGTGTTTTGCCAAACACCTGGTCCTCATCTAGATTACTATTGGTGTCTGATTATCGATAATCGTCCTTTACATAGTACTATTAAAAATCTGTGCTACCTCTCTACTCAGGACTTGCCAAGCAGGCTTTCGTATGCCATGGACCCGAGCTCAGAATTTACATAGTTGCATAACTTATACATTACACAACCTTTCAGAACTATATACTAAATATATATATAGCTAATATATACTTTCTAATATAAGAAGTTTTTTGAAACTAATAGCTATAAACCTTCTGCTTAACAATACTTGAAAAAATCTTAATCTCAAAAAGATTAGTTAAAAAATATGTTTTAAAACAAATTGTTTTAAAACATTTGTTAATTTTAATATTCTTATCAAAATATACTATGTCTAAACTTTTTTAAAGCTTTAACAATTTCTAATATATCTAATAAAAGTATAAGCTGAAAGACTAACTTTAACTATAAAAAAATAAAAAAATAAATCAAATTTAGTCCAGTAGTTGCTAAAATATCTTAAAGTTTTTAAAAATTTAAAATATTTATCAAAACAAAAACCACACTAATTTTTTTCAAACTTTTAATAAAAATATCTTAGCAATCAACAAGTCAAATTTAATAAACTTTTTTGTTTAAATTCTATAATTTTAAAAAATTTAAATAAAAAAGCTTATTAAATTTGACTTTAAAAAATAATAATACAGCTTCTATTTTAATAAATATTTCAAAAGTTTTTTTAAAACTTTAAGCAAAGATAACTTAGTAACTATTAATCAAATTTAATAACTTTTTTTATCTAAATTCTACAAATATATAAAATTTAAATAAAAAATTCATTAAATTTAGCTTAATAGTTGTTAAAAAAATTTTATATAATTTGTTTTAATAGATGTTTTAATTTTATTTATTTTATTTATACTTTAAGCAAAAATATCCCAATAACTACTAGGTCAAATTTGATGATTTTTTTATTAGAATTTTATAAGTTTATAAAATTCAAAAAAAGGTTATCAAATTTGGCATAATAATATCTTTGCTCAAAATTTAAAAAAAGTTAAATTTGCAAAGAATAATAAATTTGAATATAAAAAATAAAAACTTTGTCAATTATATTTAATAACAAATATTAGATATTTAGAAATTTTAATATTAAATAATTAAATATGCTTACCTTAATAGTAAATAATTATATAAAAAGTAGCTATATATGTATATAAAGGTATACCAAGTTATTAATAAATTTTAAATAACATTGATTATGTAAATATGCTATTGTGATTGATTATTTGCATAAATAGCATAAATAGCATAATTTACTAAAAACTTTATTTTATATTAATATAATTTTTTATCGTTATATATAAGATGAAGATATCAAACCATAAAATGCAAGATACCCTTTGATTTAGATCCTTTTTAATTTGACAGAAATTTTAATTTGAGATTTAAAATTTAGTTTTGAATTTGTGATTAGTGTAGAATTTGAGGTTATATAAAAATACTAAATTCAAACTAGTTAATACTTTAGCCTAAACTTAAAGGGCTTAAAGTGGTTTGGTTTCAGCACCCAATTTTACTCAAGAGCATCTTCATCAATTTGAGAGACTTTAACAGTGATAAGTTCCATGAAGCATCTTTTCAATTCATCTAATGTCTAAACATAATACAAAATTAAGTATAAACAAATAAAAAACTAGTAACAATCAATAAAAAAAAATTGATAATTATTTAATAATATTACTGACTGCTCGCCGCGTTGTAAATGGGATCGACCGAATACGAGGATTATCTATCCAAATTCAGCAATAAGGATTTAATTCTATAAATATTCGGACAAAATACGTTGTAAATAATAAGTTTGAAAAATACCCTTTCGCAGAACAGCACCATCATAATGAAAGATAATCTTTTTGTTCGCTGCTCCTGGAGCATGTACAAATACAAGTTCACTCTGATCGATCAACGGACTCCACTGATTGAGCAGTATACGAACATCCCTTTCTAACGCAGCTTCATTATATCTCCTTATCTCTGCACCAGCTGACCTGGCTTTTCCTTTAGAATTATCATTATTCGCCTGACTCCCACCTTGCTTTCGACGCGCTATGTTCATTAAAACGTTAGCCAAAAGTTATTTAAAACAATCTCAAATATGAGAAAGGAGCTCACTTGTATATCGATGAAAAGTTTTACAAACATGCTCTTTAACTTCTTCCATGTTCTTCACATTTACATTTTGAGTCATATCTAAAATAAGCCCCGCAAAATGGCCACCACTGATCATCAACATAGTCCAATACCTTGGTTTATTGTTACCAGATTTAACTTGTAATCTTTTGATATCTTCCATGACGGTACTCGGATCATTTCCTCTACCATTAAGGATATGCTTGTACACACCAAGACAAACATCATCAGGAAGTACATTTGGACAAGTAAACCATACTATTGGCTTGGATGATCTCAGAATACCTTTATCAGGTAAAGCTTCTTTCTCTGAATTTTCCTCAAGATCAACACTTTGAAGTTCGTCTACTAGATTAGAAACATCGTCTTGTAAGGATGTATCAGTGCATTCACTCTCTGAACAAGAACTACTTGATGGACCTTCTATTTTGAAAATAAAAATTAAATTGGTCAATAATCATTGATATATTGCACTGTTTTAAGACTCACCACCCATGAGTTCTTCAAATTTTTGTTCAGAGATTGGAGTATACTGAGTTTTACCGGCGTCGAGACACTTAGCACGACGTTTGACATTAAAGCGATGCCAATCTAATTTATAATGAGTTCTTTGCTGCTCTAAAGTATCGAAGGACAAAATACCACATGCCAAACAGGTTGGTTTAAAAGGCTCATTATTTACTTCTGTTTCTATATCATTGACACTACTTTTTTCTTTCAAAATTGTTTCTGGCTTACAAAACGACGAAAGGATATCTTCTGGTAACGAAAATATTTTTAGTGGACGTGCACTTAGTGACTTAAATTCCATGTTTTGGATGTAAGCTTTACTAAAGCTCTATTCAATTATGTCACCAGTTGGAATGTGATATTTGAGGGTTTGTGGTGATTGGAGACAAAATGAGTAATTTTTGTCAGTCAGGAAAAAAGTCGGTCCTTCCCCTGAGGGGATATCCATTGTCTGACCATTGTTGGTAGTGCATCTTATGGATTGCTCATGGTTCGTCTAATGCTGCACAAAAAACAATTAGAACAATTATAATATGCAGGGGATACATGTCAATTCCAGAATTGTAAATAAATACTTCTAAAAAAACAAACGAAAGTGTCTCGAAACTGGGTTTAGAATTAAGTAAACCTACTTTTGGGCTCTAAGTAAGTTGTTCTCCAGGTCAAGACGATTGTTACACGAATTTTAAGACGTCGCTTAAACTTCAAAGAGCTATTGTGGATGATTTACCGGACCGTTTTTAATTATTTTACCACCGTTAGATTCGTCTTGACCTGGAGAACAACGTTATTTAGAGCCAAAAGTAGGTTACTTAATTGAATAATCAATTAGATGTTATACAACAATAGTTAGCCAATTAACCTCCCTATAATCACACCCCTTTGGGATAAAGATTTTGTGTAATTGTAAAGAGAATTTTACTAAGATGTGCTTATAAATAGGTTTTTTTTTATATATTTATAATAGTTTTAAAATAAATATGCTTATAAAGAGAATTTTTATATAATAAATTATAGAGGGTGACTATAGAGATGTTTGACTATATATAGTTCATTATTTGATTATTTAATTAGTTAGTTAATTAGTCAATTAGTCAACTAGTTAATTTGTCAACTAGCCAACTAATTGACTAATCAATTAATTGATGATTCATGAGTCAACTAGACAAAACACAGTAAAAAATAATTCAGATTACTATATAAATTATATATGCTTCAAATGCCACAATCATCTAAGGAAAACCTTTTTGCTTATTAAGTTAATTGATCTTCTGTATTAAGAGAAAGTTGTAGAGCTCATTAAGATGCAACTAATGTATATATAATTTATATAGTAATCTGAGTTATGTTTTACTATGTATTTTGTCTAGTTGATTACAGATCATCAATTAATTATAATAAAATTTAGCCAATTAGTTGATTACTATAGTGCATTAATCAAAAGACCCAGGATCTAATACAAAATATTTGTTAAAAAACTTATAAAAGACTAGAAGAATTGATAAATTGTTTATAGTACAGTAGATGAGATGTTGTTTATTAAATCATTTGTTTAAATTTTCTCTGAAGTTAAAAAGAAATAGAATATAATATTGTTTAAGAAAGAGAGTTTTAGATAGGTTAAATAATATAATTATATTTTATTTAGAATTAGATTTTATTGTAAAGTAAAATTATATATGCTGACAAAATTATTTTAAGCTTCGAGATACAAAATTAAAATTTAAAAACAAAATTGTTTTTGGCTATTTTATTTAAATACTAAAATTTTTTGATATTTTTTTAAAGAGATGAAATATAAAGAACATAACTACCTAAATTAAATTTGCTCTTGCATATAAAATTTTAAATTGTTCTAATAGAGATGAAATAGAGGTTTTTTGAAAACCTATTTTGGTAGCATGTATAAATAAGATTCTTCTAGATTGACAGATATAATTTCAGTAATAATATAAAACTTTTAGATATGAAGTTGAGGTCTTTTGCAAGCTTAATATAGTTAATAGTTTGATATTGTTTGAGAAAATAAAGGTGAAGGCAATATTAAAATAAACTTGAAATTTTTGTTTGTAAGTATATAGGGGGAAAAGATGATTTAAAGATTTTGATATAAATAAGTTTTATAAATAAAATAGTTGTAAATTTAAGTAATAAGCTTCTGAGTATAGTTTTAAGATATTTAAAAGAAATAGATGCTTTAGAATTAATATTCAGATTAGTAAATAATATCAGTAAAAATTGAGATTTTTTAGCTATCATAATATGATTAATATATTAAAATAAAGCTTTAAGTAAAGGTTTAGTTCTGATAGTAGGTTTGATTTCTTTTCCTAAATAGAAGTTATATATATATTTTTTTTAAAAAAAAATTTATATAAATAAAAGATTAAGTTTTTTTTTTTTTTTTTTTTTTTTTTTTGGTTTTGAAAGCGAGGTCTTACCCTCTGTAACTTTATTAGTTTTACTAATTAT